CCTCTGATGTTCCATCAACTACACCAACAGCCATTATTGCTGGATGGTCATCCCACTACAAAGCACAGGAACATGTTTAACATGCTATACAATATATATATATATATATATATATATACACACACACACACACACACACATATATATATATATATATATTATAGTTTTTCTAGAAATGCCCAAATAGTCACATTGAAATTACTAACCCTCTTTTGAGATCCCCTGTCTTTACTTTCTTTAAATAGCCGTAGTCCTGCATGAAAAATTTTAATCAAACATTCAAAAAGAAGAACAAAGGAAATAAGAGGAGAATTAACATATTCAACAACGAATACACAAAGTGAAAGCAATTTTCACCAAGTCACTATAGTAGTGTCTTGATTAATTGTAAGCTCTAGTTTACATTAATTTACCAGAAAGAAAATAACTTGTTGATCCAAACAATTAAATGAAAACCTGATTCTTTTTTTAACTGAAAGAGCTATACAGCATAAGTCAAAAGCCTAAAATTCCACATCTCCCTCAGCAGAACCTAAGGAAATAACATTTTATTTCCCTAGACTAAGAAGTTTGTGCAGTGTTTAAACGACAATAAGCATTAAAGCATGAAAGGACCTACCATTCTGACAACCAAAGATTGTCCAAGAAGACGATGCAACAACATCGGATCTTGCATCTGTGGTTGATGGTGAAAAGTAAGCCCAGTCAACTGAAGTTGGGCGATGATACCTATTAGAGCATTTTGAAGTGTGTAAAGAGGATAAACATTACTCATGCTCACAGAGAATTAATTCAGAATCAATAAGTCATTAAACACTCGATCTAGAGAAACAGTTTAATTTCACTAGCTATTGAAAACAAAAGCGTGGAATCACAGTAGATGAATTCAATATACCTTAAATACTGTGACCCACGCATCGGGAAACCCAATGCATCCCCCCGAATCGTGTCTGCCTGTAATTAAGCACTTATAAACTATTAAGAATTGACAACATTAGAAGTTAGAACCTATGTCTTTCTTACTCTGTATGATTTAGTATTTAATAGCTGATACCTTCAAAGCTGCTTCTTGAATAGCCTGAATCCATCTCGCTGCTTCCTCAGGACTGGTTGCTCCCAACTAAAAATAAATACAACTACATCATTAAAAAAATTGCCTAATATACATAGGCCCTTCGTGTTGAATATATTTGACCAAAAGGAAGAGATCATTCACCTTGAGCTGATCGTTATGATTTGAAGTATTATAAAGAGAAAAAACAAAAATGGCCTGCAAGATCATAAAAAGCCATAAAATATCCATGGGAAAAGATAAATGCTAAAGACATACCGACTTTGCAAACTAACATAAATGAGGATCATACCCTTCTTTTTATGTTTTCTCTCCCATTGTCTGTCACCCGAATACAGGAATCAATGACTGCACTTCTGACCGGATCCTGATAAAGCATCAATGTTTCACTTTGAGATCACTTGTAAATGTTATTGTGGGGTATTGTGGGGGGTGGGGGGGCTGACATTATAAGAACTATGAAGTCTCCCAAAACACTGCTTTCCCGCTTTCACAAAGTAGAAGTCTTCAATAGCAGAATTGTTAAATATCACTTCATTGTCGGAGCATTAGCTACTTAATAGGAATAATCTCATTACTTATTCCTAGATAAGACTGGATTCAGATGCATAGAAAGAAACAAATTTGAACTGTTCATGTTTTTCCAAACAAAAATGTAAAAGTTTCAACCAATGGATACATCAAGACCCTCAGAAGTAACACGGATGACCAGGTCAACAGACAGATTCAAAATTGAATTACTTATACATGATGTTCCCAAAAAATAAGGTCAATATGAGTAATGCATTGCACTCCTATGCTGAAATAGCAAACAGAACAAACAAGTGAACAACCTACATCCAGCTCAACTACGCTTTAAGCCGGACCAATTTCTTGTCTGTGAGGAAGAGGAAAAGGACGAAACCTCGAGTTTGGAGACGGGTATGGATTTGTAACTGTTGAGGAAGTGATCCTTTAGAACAAAGTATCTTTTGCGGGAGTACTGAAGCCCAATCGAATTGGAGCGCACCAGATACAGCCACCCGTCCATTGTACTGCAATCGCCACTATTTTCCATAATGTCCGTCACCTTCGCCGGGAAGATCGCTTTGCAAGTTAAAATTGAGCGCGCAACGAAGTGAAACTGCTCTGAAGCTCAAGATTTGGAAAATAGTGGAGAGAGATAGAGCATCATCAATCACATCAAGAAATGAAGATGATATCTTTCATCTGATTCTCCGACCAAGATTATATATATATGTGTATGTATGGAGAAGGAGAAGAGAAACTGGTAAACTTCTCTTTCTCGCCGGTTGGTTCGTGTGGGGGCGGGGTTTAACTTTTACTCTGTTCCATAGCAGCAACTGGGGGAAGTATTAATCAACTTTAAATTCTGTGAAAAAACAGAGTTTGTTGAGCGTTGATGGATAGATAAGGTACCCACACTGATTGATAAATGATCTAAATGAATCGGCCACTCCAAATGATCCAAACAAATAAACTGGAACAGATTGAGCTATTTGATTTAGAACTCAGGTTTGCATTTTCAAATTTGCTCAAATTGACCAAAACCGACACTTACTGGAATCAGTTTTAGTTGTGCACGGCTCAAATTTGCATTTCTAAATATAGCAATGATCCAAATAGGAACGATCGTACTAAACAACAATTGACAATATACTATGACCATTCCTAGCAGTGAGGTATTACGTGACTCAAATATGTAATACGGAGTACATAAAATGAAGAAAAAAAATGGAAGTGTTAACCGTTGAAGTTTTATTGAGTCTCCAAAAAACACGAAACACAAATTTTTAATGCATGGGGCATTCACAAATAATTGAATATTCCATAATAAAAAACACAAAAATAAAAACAAACTTTTTTGTTAACCGAAAGTGTAAAAAAATTAATGAAATTTATTTATGTTTACATCGAAATGTGTATTTTTTATTACATAGTTATTCAGGGATAAAGTTAAAAAGAAAATATTACTTATAATAATTTAATTAATATTTTACTAAATTGGTATGTCAAAAATGTGTTGAGTGTATTTTATTGGTGGTTTGTTCCCGAATATTACTAAATTGAAGTCAATTTCCAAAAATGTGACTACTCTTAAATTTTGACAAAAATGTGACTAACAAGTGGGGTGTTCACCGGTCCAAAACCGGACCGGACCGGACCGGAATCGGAATCATCATTTTCTATGGACCGAAGACCAGACCTAAATCTAACCGGTCCGGACCGGTTCAGACCTGAATTTTCCGGTCCGGTCCGGTTTTGACCCTAATTGACCCGATTTTAGAAAAAGACATTATCTTAAAGTGATCTTAACCGACACCAATTTTTTTAGGAATAAGGAATGGATGTTGTTGATGTTGTTTCAAACTATAATTTTATGTGCGGATATACTATATAGGCTAAATAATTGTTTGGCTCATTTATTAATTTTGGAATATAGTCATCAAAACTATTCAATCGTAATAATTAGTTTCTCACAGTAATTAAAACTACAATTTTTTGTGTATATTAAAACGGAAAAATGTATTGTAGAGTAATAAAAACTAAATTACGTCCAAAAATATACTACATATAAACTACATGCACACCTACAAATAAAGAAACAAATAAAAAGCAATCTCGAAAAATCAAACAAATATAAACTACGATCATAACAGTGCACTTGCACATAAATAAACAAATCAAAAACAACTCAGGAAATAATTAGACACCAAATATACACGTACTCCGTATATATTCATTTATATAATAAAAGACAAAAGTAAGCCATAAGCATAATGACTAATGATACATAATGAAATATATATTTTACGGAACAATAAGATACTGGTCCATTCCGGTCCGGACCTGTTATTTCCGGGTTTGACCCGGACCGGACCGGAACCCGGAATCTTGAAAAACTAAGGACCGAAACCCGGACCGGTTAATACCGGTCCGGTCCGGTCCGGTTCATACCGGTCCGGTTCCGGTCTAAAATACGTTCCGACCCGGTTAATGAACAGCCCTACTAACAAGATCATATATTTGGAAAAAGATTATGTCATTGTAATATTTTTTTTCATTGCGCTTTTTTTATGTGGAAAAAGATTGTATATTTGGAAAAAGATTTTTTTTTCATCATTTGCAATGGAGCCAAAGATTCATTTTTTTTGGCTTGAGATTATGATGGAATAAAGCAAAATGACTCATTAAACTATCTGCGCTTCTTTGTTATGGAGTAGCAGTCAGTCCGTGCAATTTTGGACGCGATTTTCACTATGGGTCATCCAGAAACAGTCTCTCTGTGCTTTAGTACAGGGGTAAGACTGCGTACATCCGACTCCCCATTACCCCACCGTAGGTGGGGGGAGCCTTTGCGGCACTAAGGTAAATGAAAATGAAATGAAAAATGATGCGGTTTTTTGTGTCACTAAGAACTGTCACCGTTGGATTTCCATGTCACTAACGTATGTCACTACCCCGTTAGAAAATATTTCTAACAACTTGTTCCGGCGACATTTTCCAACGCCGTCGACTCATTCCCTCCCAGCCCCAGCTACGTGTTGAAAGCAACACCACTGTTACCCAACTTGGCTACCTGCCACTGATTAAATACCTAATATACCAACCCGAGTACATTATATTGTCTAGTACCGAATAGGTTAATATAATAAACTATTTTGCTTTTAAATTCCCATTTTAGTAAGTCAGGAAGTTAGAAATTATAAAATTCTGCATGCGAGCAGCACAAGATTGCTTTAGTGCTTTCCCGGATTAATGGCAATAGTGCATTTAGGAAATCAATAGTTAAGATTTAAGAACTCAACTCCCAAAATGATCAATCAATAGTACAATTGTGACAATAGTAGTTAAGAGTGGCAACTCCAAAATACACAACAAAAAATGAAACAAAGCAAGAGAAGTTCATAATAAACTGAAAAAAATGGTCCAACTAAATTTTATCTCTTATATAAAGGCAAATGTTGGAGGTATTGGTCCTACCAAGGCCTCCCTTCCACTTTATTTGCTGAGGCTTGCACCCTATTGTTTTACTCCCACTTTGGTACCTTTTCTTTGGTATATATCCTGATCAAATATATACCTATTTTGAGTGGTTGACTTAATCTCTTGGCTGGCCCCTTCTCTGCCTCCTGTCCGCTGCACTCATTGCCTGGCAGCCTGTGAGCCTTTTTTTGTCTTGGCTCTCACCCATGACTTCCTTCTGGCCGTTGCTATTATTTAGAGGTCTTGGCCTCTTCCTGTGGAAGTAGCCTGCGTAGAAAAATTCCTGAGAGCAGAGCTCCCTTCTTCTTCCTTTGTGTGAGAGTAGAAAGGTCTTAGTGGAGAGTTGAGAGTGGATGCTATAGCCTCCTCCTAGTGTGGTGTATGTGATTATAGTGAAATAGACCTGAGCCGGAGACGGATAAGATCCTAACAGTGGTATCAGAGACAGGTTCGCCGTCTGCCGCCGTTCACCGCCGACGTCCCGCCGCCGCCGCCCGCCGTATGCCAGGTTGGAGCTCGCCGACGCAGGGAGTTGCTCGCCGATTTGTTCGTCGCTGGAACTGCCGCCTACCAGCGTCGCTGCAGGCCACCATTGTTGCGAACATCCATAGACGCTGTTGAAGCCCTGCGCACATCCATTGACGCTGGGAGTTGAAGCCCTGCCATCCGTCCGCCTGGAAATCGTCACCATCCGAGCCGGTCGCCGCCGTCCGAGAGTCCCGAGGAAGTCAGCCAAAAGCCCCACCTGCGAAGGTCTGGAGTTCGTTCCTCGCGGAACGCAGATAGCAGGGACGAAGAAGTCTACTGGGCTTCAATTGCTGGACCTTGGGCTACTAGATTTGGGCCTGGTGGACTGCTTCTGGAGCTGAAGGAGCTGGGCTGCTGACCTGCTGGATTTGGACTGCCAAGCTACTGGACCTGTGCTGTTGGGCCGCTGGACTGACCTGCTGGAGTTGCTGGAGCAGCTGGACCGCCGGTCAACGCCGGTCAACGCCGGTCAACACCGGTCAACGCCGGTCAACAGTCAGAAAAATCCCAATTTTTTTTAAATTGGGTAGGTAAGGTCGAAACCCTCTCCTAGGGTTTCGCTAAGGTAAATTGGCTATAAACACCCTAGGTGCACCGGGTGCCTCCGGATTTAATTTTATTCCCCCTCCCCGCGGGCCGCCGGTAGATTGTATCCCGGCCGCCAACCCCCAGGTGCGTTTGCTAAACCCTCTCCTTTGTGGCAGATTGTTTAGTTGTTTAAATTGAATTGGTAAGTGTTACTTAATTCTTTTGTTATGCGTAGGGGTGGTTTATTGAGTATTAGGGGTAGAATTAATTAATGTTAACTGCTGCCCGGAGTTGTTTTATGTGCCAAACTGTCCATATTTGCTAGTTGTTGCATGCTGCCCGGGGTTATTAAAGTATATACTTTATAGTCCGGGTTGGATTAGTTTCTGTCAAATTTGTCTGTTTAGCTTTGTGTTGTTTTGTGGTTGATACCATGGCTGCTAATCAGTATGGTATGCTTCCATTTAATGGAAAAATAGATTTTGATATTTGGAAACAGAAAATTAAGTGTGTGTTAATACAACAAAAGGTTTTTAGAGCTGTCACTGGTATTTTCCTTGAATCAGAAGATAAGGCTAATCAAATTGAAATGAACGAAACTGCTTGTTCTACTATTTACTTGAATCTGTCTGATTATGTGCTTAGGAAAGTGGGTATTCTTGAGTCCGCTAAGGAATTGTGGGAGAAATTGGATAGTCTCTATATTGATACCTCTTTGCCCGGGAAGTTGTTTTTACTTGAAAAATTCTTTAGGTTTAGGCTTGACCTGACTAAGGATATAGATGAGAACCTGGATGTGTTTAATAAACTGATACAGAATATCAAACAGGCAGGTGATAAACACATAGACGATTATACTCCCATAGTATTACTTAATGCCATTCCCGACTCTTATAATGATGTTAAGTCCGCTATTAAGTATGGTAGGGATGAGATTTCGTTAGATATTGTTGTTAATGGGTTAAGGAGTAAGGAATTAGACCTGAAGCATGCTAGGGGTAGTGCTAGTCAGTCCAGGGACTCCGGTGAGGCTATGTTTGTTAGAGGTAGATCTAAGGGTAGGTCTAAGAACTCTAAGCAAAATAGTCAAAGTAAGAACACTAGTCAGCCTGGGAGAAAGAGGAGCAAATCTAGGAAGAGAGTGTGTTACAATTGTGGTAACGCTGACCATTTCATTAAGGATTGCCCTAAACCTAAGAAGACCGAGCATGCTAGTGTAGCTGTTGATAAATGTGACCTTGGTGATATTTTGATGGTTTGTGACCATGTTAATTCTGTGCGTAATTCCCTGTCTGAGCATGAATGGTTGATTGACTCTGGTTGTACCTATCACATGTCCCCCTTTAGAGATTTGTTTTCTACATATGAATTATGTGATAGTGGCTATGTTTCCTTAGCTGATAATAAGAGATGCAATGTGCTTGGTGTGGGTGATATATGTCTGAAGTTTTCTTGTGGCTCTGTGTTTACCATTAAGAATGTGAGGCATGTCCCTGATTTGTGTCATAACTTGTTATCTGTTGCTGCTTTGGAGAGTAGTGGTTTACAGGGAAAATGGGGGAATGGTTGCATGAAAATCTTGAAAAATTCTCTTGTGTTGTTTAAAGCTGAGAAGGTGAATAACCTTTATGTGTGTCATGCTAAACCTTTTACTGAGTCTGTGAATGTTGTGTGTTCTGATAAGACCTCTTTGTGGCATAATAGGCTAGGACATATGAGCAATAAGGGTTTAGATGTCATGCGTAGGGCTGGTTATTTTGGTAAGGACTCTGTGACTTCTGTGCCTTTCTGTGAATCATGTGTGTTAGGCAAGCAGCATAGAGTCAGCTTCCCTCCTTCCTCTTACCCTAATCTGTCTAAGTGTTCGTCTGTGCTTGAATATGTTCATGCCGATGTTTGGGGTCCTGATACGTTCGTAATTTCCATTTCTATGTTTATGTTTTTAATTAGTTTTGCTTGACTTTTACTTTGGAAATTACACACTTTTGGTGTAATAGATTAGATTGTTAAATTCTTGTAAATAGGTTAGATTAGACATATTCTGAGCTTAAGCAGGTTTTGGTCACCCAAAGTATAGTTGGTGAACCCAAAAAGTGAAGAGAAGGTGCAAAAGTTCAAAGACAAAAGAAGATCCTGAATTTTGGTCTATACTCGGTCGAGTATTAGCTATACTCGATCGGGTATTAGGTTGGAACTTCAAATCGGATCAAATCCGAAGACAAAGGAACATGCAGGGAAGATTTTGGCCACGATTCTATGTCTATACCCGATCGGGTAGACCGACATATCCGATCGGGTATGCCTTTAAATTGCAAACGAAGATCGGTCGAGTATAGCCCGAATACCACTTTCTAAGCATACTCGACCGGGTATTCATATATACTCGATCGGGTATACACTTAGAAACTAGCCTGAAACCGGTCGAGTATAGCCCGAATACCACTTTCTAAGCATACTCGACCGGGTATTCATATATACTCGATCGGGTATACACTTAGAAAATAGCCTGAAACCGGTCGAGTATGCCTCGGATCGGGTGTTACACACATACTCGATCGGGTACCATGTATATACCCGATCGAGTACCCGAATCCCATCCCAAAAACCTATAAATACACCTCCTTTCCTTCACAAATATATATCCAATCCCTTGTACATCTAAGCTCAGTATAGAATAGCTCTTTCTTTATATTTTTCATCATGTTTAGTCTCCAAATGAGGAGCTAAACTCTTCCATCTTGGTTTTGCTACTTTGAAGCTTAATGAATTTGTAAGTTGTGAGTATTTTCTTTAATCTTCTTCCTTGAATATTAATTCTTTCTTTCAAAATACTATCTCTATATCAAAGTTGGGGAGTGTTACTAAGATGACAATTAGTTAACATCTTGATATTGGTTATAGTAATAGCTATTTCTTCCTCTATGATTATATTGGGGAGTGTTGCTAAGATGACAATTAGTTAACATCTTGATATTAATCATAGTAGGATTCATATATTTTAATATTCTTCCTTGAGTATTGATTAATTCCTATTCATATTTCATGTTAATATCTTAAACATTACTTAAAGTATCAACTAGTATTGTTTCTCATATTAATTATTACTAGAATCAATCGGTTAATACGCTTGTTATTAATCCGGTTCTTTCAACGGTAGTAAACTTGGAATATTAATGCATGCATCTCATGGTTAATATGCCAAGGGGAATTAATTATATTGATTAAACTAATAAACCGCTTGTGTTGAGGTTATCAATCTCAATCGTTTTCATCTTAAGTTTATTGCTACTATCAAGTTAATATACGGCGCTTGTTCTATATTGACTCGATAGTAAGTTTTATTAATGAACGCATCTCGTTATTAATAACTACCCTCGATGAACTGGATATACTCTTCGATTGAGTATTCGAGAGGAAGATAGTTAAAGATATAACCGGGATCGACGAACATTTCATTAAGTGGATAAAAGCAAGACCAAGTCCCCATCTCATTGAATTAAACTCACATAGGTCGTTTATCTTAGTGTTATTAAACCAAGCAAATCTAAACCCCCCTTGTTATTATTTATATAAAAGAAAAGTATTCCTTTCCCTGTGGATACGAACCTTACTACACTATACTACGTATTAGTGTTGTATTGATTAATTATTTTGAGTGCACCTAACGACGAGTGCACGTCAAATTTGGCGCCGTTGCCGGGGAAAGGCAATAAATTTTTCTTTTATTTTATATCAAGAAAAATAAAAAAAAAATATATATACCAAACAAAAAAAAAATATATAAAGAGTTCTTATTTCTTCTATTTCTGAGTTTAGTGAAGTTTATGGTTAAACATCGCTCCATAAACAAAATCATATATCTAACAAACCCAGAAATAGAACAAACTTTCGAGCGGTTGAAAAGTAAATTTTCTAATACTGACTCGGAGGAATCATCTATCAGAGATTCATCCAGCGCTAGTTCTCATTCTAGCGAGACCGAAGAGTCAATAACCATGGCTCTTGAGACAAGAACACTACGGGAGCTCACTGCTCCAAATCTCAATCAACAACCGCTATGTATTACCTTCCCTACACTCGATGAAGGTAATACATTTGAGCTAAAATCTGGGCTCATACATCTACTGCCATCCTTTCATGGCCTAAGGGGGGAGGACCCCAACAAACATCTCTCGGAATTCCATATTGTCTGCACAAGCATGTGCCCCAATGGAGTCACCGAGGAACAAATCAAATTGAGGGCTTTTCCATTCTCCCTCAAAGACACGACGAAGGATTGGCTATTCTATCTCCCGTCAGGGAGTATAGATACATGGGCGTCAATGAAAAAATGCTTCCTCGAAAGGTACTACCCTGCATCTGTCTCATCATCCTTGAAAAAACAAATAAGCAACATCGAACAAAAAGATGATGAGACATTATATGAGTATTGGGAGCGTTTCAAAAAGTTGTGCGCTAGCTGCCCATATCACGGTTATACAGAGCAAGACCTCATCCTCTACTTCTATGACGGTCTTGCGGAGCAAGATAGACGCCTGGTGAACGCAGCATCTGGAGGGGGAATTGTCAACAAAACCCCTTCCCAAGCTAGGAACCTCATCTCGGAGTTGGCCGAGAATTCTAGGCACTACAATGGGAGGTCATCATCAAAACGGGTCATGGCAGCGGAATCCAGCATCTCGTTGGAAAGTCAAGTGGCCGGCTTGACTTCTTTGGTAAAGGATTTCCTTTTAAATCCAAAACACCAAGAAGTCAAGGTCTGCGGCATATGCTCGACACAGGGGCACCCCACCGATTCCTGTCCAACACTACAAGAGGAGAATTCCGAGCAAGTCAATGCTTTGGGATTTCAAGGTCAAAAGAGGTATGATCCACACTCTAACTCCTACAATCCTGGGTGGAGAGATCACCCGAATTTGAGGTATGGGAATCCTCAAAATCAGTCATTGCCACCAACTTTCCCAAAGCACCAAGGCCAGACGTCAAGCTCAAGTATGTCCACCGAGGACATGATCCGAGCTCTCACCTCAAATGTCTCAACCATGCAACAAAACATGGTTCAATTTCAGCATGAGACCAAATCCAGCATTCAGAATTTGGAAAACCAAGTCAGTCAAATTGCAAATGCCGTGAACCGACTTGAAACAAAAGACTCGGGTAAACTCCCATCTCAAACGGAGCAAAATCCGAGACAACATGTGAATGCTATAACGTTGAGAAGTGGTGCAACGTTGAAAGAGGCAGAAGAGAACGATGAAGAGACTGAGGGTGTGGACCCCGGAAAAATAGTCCCACCGGAGGAGGAAAACACAGGAACCAAGCTTCCCTCACCCTCATCATATGAACAAGAAATCCCGTTCCCTGAGGCGCTGAAAGAGACAAAGAAGCTAGAAAAAGACGCCGACATCTATGAAACCTTCGCAAAGTGTGAGGTAAACATTCCGCTTCTTAACTTCATGAAAAATGTCCCCCGTTTTGCTAAATTCTTAAAAGAATTATGCAAAACAAAAAGAAAAGATAAATTGAAAGGGAAACAAGAGGTTAGAGTTAGTGAACACGTCTCGGCCATTTTTCAGAGGAAACTTCCCGAAAAATGTAACGACCCAGGCATGTTCACTATCCCTTGCAAAATAGGAGACACCACATTTCCTAAGGCCTTGTTAGATTTAGGGGCATCAATAAATGTCATCCCCTATTCTGTTTATAAAACTCTGCAACTTGGCCCATTACATCAAACAGGTGTAGTGATTCAATTGGCAGATCATTCTAGTACTTACCCGAAGGGTGTAGTAGAAGATGTGCTAATAGAAGTAGAAAATATGGTCTTTCCTGTTGACTTCTATGTCCTTGAAATGGGAACTAATGACCAAACAACTCCCATCCTTTTGGGTAGACCCTTCATGAAGACCGCAAAAACGAAAATTGACGTTTCTAGTGGTTCACTAACTTTAGAGTTCGATGATCAAAAAGTAGAGTTCAACATCTTGGACTCTACGAAAAAACAAATACAAAATCCAACTCTGTGTTCTTTACATGTTGTTGAACCACAAGAACCGCTGTTTTTCAAAGAAGCGGATAAAACCAGATGTCTTTTGAGAAAGAAACCCCGGCCTTACTGGAAAAGGCCGAAAAATAAAAATGAAAAATGGCCAAATAGGGCCTTAAAAAGTGAAACAAGAGATACTCATGATCCCACATAAAACAAAACCAAAAAAATGAATAACGTCATGCCCCGACGTTAACTAAGGCGCTACTTGGGAGGCAACCCAAGTTTTTTTTTTTTTTTGTATAATTCATTTTTCTTTTTATTTATTTGAGAGATCAGTGAGGGAGGGCACTAATCATGGGTTTTTGAAAAAAAAAAAAAAAAAGAAATAAAAAAATTTGCAGGTTTTTGAACATCTGGGGACATACCCGATCGAGTATAACCTTATACTCGGTCGGGTATAAGCAAAAAGAAAAAGGGACCGGGCATTACTCGATCGAGGGAGCATTCAAAATTTGAAAAATAAGCAATACCCGATCGGGTATCACTATACACCCGGTCGGGTATCGCTAGAAATGCTAAAATTGAAGGGGACTGATTCCCACACTCGACCGAGTACACGCTTCAAAAATGGAAAAAAAAGCATATACCCGATCGAGTATGGAGGAATACTCGACCGGGTACAGGAGACAGGCTGCTCACAAAGTTCATTTTCTAAGCATACTCGACCGGGTAACCCCACCCTACCCGATCGAGTACAGGAGACAGGCCGCTCAAAAACTACACTTTCCAGCCATACCCGACCGAGTACCAGCACATACTCGATCGGGTATACGGGTCTTATAACCCCAAATCAGCCCCAAAACACTTCATCTTCCCCAAATTCCCAACCCCATCTCGAACAAAAAACGCCCAAACCCCATTTTTACACCTTCTCTCTACCATATCTCTTCCAAATCTTCACCAAATCCACCCATTCCAACGCCAAAACACTCCCCTCATCCTCCTCTACACATTCATACCCAACAATCCCATTCTCCCCCAACTTTCAGAGGTCCGAAAAACCCTACCCCCACCATTCCAATTTCGGTTTTCAAAGGCCAAAATCACTTCAAATGGCTCCAAGGAAAGAGAAAGGGCAGAGCTCAAGCACTAGGACAATCATCTCGGGCTACGAGGGCATCCTTTTCGTGGACAACGAACAACGCACACGCTTCTTGTCCACAATTGAAAGGCAAGTCAAACCTTCCCGCTTTTTATGCCTTGATGCTCTAAAGGAATTAGGAGTATACACAATAATGAAGAAATTTTTTCATGAGTTGCATATGGATAAAATTTTCAAAATGAAATACAACTCAAATGAAAAAATTATCTATGAATTCCTAAGCTCGGTGCACTTTGAGAACAATGAGGAGTACTTTAGAGATGATAAACTCAGGTTTCGATTGTTTAATCACAATCACACCATCACGAAACTTGAGTTTGCCGAACACTTTGGTATTCCGGTCCCGTACCAAAAGTCTATATCCGACAATACCGCCTTCGGCCACACCCTATGGACCAAGATGACCGGGGAGACCAAATTTAGCTCCTCCCAACTATACATTAGTCATGTCCAACATCCAGTCCTACGCCTCTTTTTGAAATTCCTTGCCAACTCCTTGCTTGGACGTCCCAACAACCATCATACAAGGATGTGGGATGTATGCCTCATCTCGGTTGCCTTATTCCGTATCCACGTGGATTTCAACCTCTGTAATCTCATGTGGGCTCATCTAAAGAAGGAAAGTGTGGCAAAGGGTGCTATCGTAGTGGGCGGGGTGATTATGCACTTGGCCACAAAGTTCGGGTATACGGATGACTCTCCTATACCCGACTACTGTTTAATGAACATATCTTGGCTAGGCCACTCGGGCTGTACTTCTTTTTCACACACCGTTTATGGTGAAGAAAGGCCCAAAAATATGTACAACTGGCACATCCACCCCAAACCCCTCAAATACTTCCTCTTGCCCAACCCAGAACTCCCCCAACTCCACTTCAAAACAGGCAGGCCGGATCAACATTACCTCTTCCCAAACGCCCTCCCACCACATCTTCAAGAACCGGAACAGGAACTCCCCCAAAACCAACCCGATGACGAGCCCTACGAGCAACTCCATAGCCATCCAACCATGAGCCATGATTTCCCAGAACAAAGCCAAAACCCTCCACCACCCGACTTCTTTCAACAACTTCTGGAGGGTCAACAACAACTTCTTACGGGAATAGCTCAAATGGACAACCGGCTCAACCGATTAGAGGAAGAGCAAAGAGCCAGTTTTCAAAGATTGGAGGATGAGCAAAGGGCCGGCTTTCAACGTTTGGAGGAACTCCGGGAGGCCGATAGACACCGGTATGAGGAAGACCAACATAGGTTCTACGGGCCTATGTACTCGTTTATGGCACAGCAGGGATCCTTCCATACCATGGCGAACCCTCCTCCACCACCCTCATGGTATGACCCCACTCATTGGGGTAACTTTGGAGGATCTGGCTCCGGTGGTAGAGGGTACGACGGCGGAGATGGCGGGGACACTTACATGGGAGATGGTGGCCAAGGGAGCGGTTTTGGAGGGAGCTACTACGGAGGAGAAGGCGGGCACTAGGGACAGTGCGTGATTCAAGTGCGGGGGAGACACTCATGATGGTATGTAATTCTCATTTGTACCTAGCACTATGCATGTAATTCTTTTGAACTTTTACACTCAAAAAAAAAAAAAAAATAAACAAAAGAAAATAAATGCTAGTTAGGTTGAAAACCCAACAAAATGGGCAATCTAAGCAAAAAAGGCTTATATAAAAAAATGAGTGAGTTGGAGAGAATGGAAAATGAAAAGAGGTGCTAGGATGAAAACCTGAAAAGGCTCCTAGGCAAAATGAGAGATATGAGAGAAATGTTTGTTCTTGCAGGCACTCATTGTATCCTTATGAAGAATATGAAGATTCAAGATAAAGAAGAAGAGAGGAGGAGAAAAGAAGACAACACTAGGAGGCCATTAAACCCAAGATGCTCTTTTGTGATTTGAGTTTAAAACTCATTTTTTGTAATCCTTGGTGGTCTTTATGTTTGTATTATCTTTTTGTTGAACTGTGGAACTTTTGGACAAACATTGACACTTGTAAACATTTGATCTTACTCGAGACGAGTAAAGGTTTAAGTGTGGGGGAGTTGATACGTTCGTAATTTCCATTTCTATGTTTATGTTTTTAATTAGTTTTGCTTGACTTTTACTTTGGAAATTACACACTTTTGGTGTAATAGATTAGATTGTTAAATTCTTGTAAATAGGTTAGATTAGACATATTCTGAGCTTAAGCAGGTTTTGGTCACCCAAAGTACAGTTGGTGAACCCAAAAAGTGAAGAGAAGGTGAAAAAGTTCAAAGACAAAAGAAGATCCTGAATTTTGGTCTATACTCGGTCGAGTATTAGCTATACTCGATCGGGTATTAGGTTGGAACTTCAAATCGGATCAAATCCGAAGACAAAGGAACATGCAGGGAAGATTTTGGCCACGATTCTATGTCTATACCCGATCGAGTAGACCGACATACCCGATCGGGTAGACCGACATACCCGATCGGGTATGCCTTTAAATTGCAAACGAAGATCGGTCGAGTATAGCCCGAATACCACTTTCTAAGCATACTCGACCGGGTATTCATATATACTCGATCGGGTATACACTTAGAAACTAGCCTGAAACCGGTCGAGTATAGCCCGAATACCACTTTCTAAGCATACTCGACCGGGTATTCATATATACTCGATCGGGTATACACTTAGAAAATAGCCTGAAACCGGTCGAGTATGCCTCGGATCGGGTGTTACACACATACTCGATCGGGTACCATGTATATACCCGATCGAGTACCCGAATCCCATCCCAAAAACCTATAAATACACCTCCTTTCCTTCACAAATATATATCCAATCCCTTGTACATCTAAGCTCAGTATAGAATAGCTCTTTCTTTATATTTTTCATCATGTTTAGTCTCCAAATGAGGAGCTAAACTCTTCCATCTTGGTTTTGCTACTTTGAAGCTTAATGAATTTGTAAGTTGTGAGTATTTTCTTTAATCTTCTTCCTTGAATATTAATTCTTTCTTTCAAAATACTATCTCTATATCAAAGTTGGGGAGTGTTACTAAGATGACAATTAGTTAACATCTTGATATTGGTTATAGTAATAGCTATTTCTTCCTCTATGATTATATTGGGGAGTGTTGCTAAGATGACAATTAGTTAACATCTTGATATTAATCATAGTAGGATTCATATATTTTAATATTCTTCCTTGAGTATTGATTAATTCCTATTCATATTTCATGTTAATATCTTAAACATTACTTAAAGTATCAACTAGTATTGTTTCTCATATTAATTATTACTAGAATCAATCGGTTAATACGCTTGTTATTAATCCGGTTCTTTCAACGGTAGTAAACTTGGAATATTAATGCATGCATCTCATGGTTAATATGCCAAGGGGAATTAATTATATTGATTAAACTAATAAACCGCTTGTGTTGAGGTTATCAATCTCAATCGTTTTCATCTTAAGTTTATTGCTACTATCAAGTTAATATACGGCGCTTGTTCTATATTGACTCGATAGTAAGTTTTATTAATGAACGCATCTCGTTATTAATAACTACCCTCGATGAACTGGATATACTCCTCGATTGAGTATTCGAGAGGAAGATAGTTAAAGATATAACCGGGATCGACGAACATTTCATTAAGTGGATAAAAGCAAGACCAAGTCCCCATCTCATTGAATTAAACTCACATAGGTCGTTTATCTTAGTGTTATTAAACCAAGCAAATCTAAACCCCCCTTGTTATTATTTATATAAAAGAAAAGTATTCCTTTCCCTGTGGATACGAACCTTACTACACTATACTACGTATTAGTGTTGTATTGATTAATTATTTTGAGTGCACCTAACGACGAGTGCACGTCAGGTCCTGCCAGTGTTCCTACCCACGGGGGTAGGAAATATTTCCTTTCTATTATTGATGATTTCTCTAGGAAGGTGTGGGTTAGCCTTTTAGAACACAAGTCTGATGTGTTCGTGAAGTTTAGGGAGTGGAAAACCCTAGTTGAAAACCAAACTGGCAGGAAGGTTAAAACCCTTAGGACCGATAACGGGTTAGAGTTCTGTAATAAGGAGATGGATAAGCTGTGTGTGGATTGTGGGATAAAAAGGCACAAAACTGTGCCTTATACTCCCCAACAGAATGGGATAGCAGAGAGAATGAATAGGTCTCTGTTGGATAAGGTTAGAAGCATGTTAGCTACCTCTGGTTTGTCTAAGAAATTCTGGGGTGAAGCAGTTACTACTGCTGCCTATTTGGTGAATAGGTCCCCGTCTGTCCCACTTGGTGGTAAATGTCCTGAAGCCGTCTTTACCGGTAAGCCTCTTGATCTGTCTAACCTTCGGGTGTTTGGTTGTGCAGCGTATGCACATCAACAGGGTGACAAGTTGGATCCTAGGTCTAAGAAATGTGTCTTCCTAGGTTATCCAGAGGGGGTAAAGGGTTACAGGTTATGAGATAGGAACCAGGTAGGCTTTAAGGTGGTCATTAGCAGAAATGTGGTGTTTAATGAAACTGATTTTCCTTGCTTGACCGAGTCTGTTTCTAATCCTGAGTCTAGGTCTGATAGTACTCCTAGTGAGGTGGAGTTTGTCCCTGTTGCTGCTAGTCCTTTATCTGTTGATCCTGTTATTACTGATGATATTGTTATGCATGATTCTGATTCCTCTGAGCATGATAGTCCCACCACCTCGAGTGAGGTGGAGCATTTGCATGATACTGAGCATGATTTGCATGATATTGGTGCTGAATCTGACTTTCATGACAACAATAATTTGCATGAGTTACATGTGGAGCCTAGTAGTGATAATTTGCATGATTATCAACTTGCTAGAGATAGGGGTAGAAGGGCTATTAGGAGAACTGCTGATAGTATGCCTGATTATGCTTTCATTGTGCATGATACTTCTATGTTTGCTTTTTCTGTGTTTGAATCCCTAGAGCTGAATGAACCCAAGACCTACCGTGAAGCCTTAGGTTCCAAAGAGTCTCAGAAATGGATTAGAGCCATGAAAAGTGAGATGGACTCTTTGAGAGTGAACCAGACTTGGACCCTTGTACCTAGACCCCCCAACTGTTCGGTAGTTGAGTGTAAGTGGTTGTTTAAGGTTAAGGAAGAACCTAGTGATGTTGGGTTTAAGGCTAGGTTGGTTGCGAAGGGGTTTACTCAAAAAGAGGGGGTAGATTATGCAGAAATCTTTGCTCCTGTTGTTAAATTCACCACTATTCGTATGATGCTTGCTTTAGTTGCTCACCATGACTGGGAAATGAAACAAATGGATGTAACTACTGCTTTTTTGCATGGTGAATTGGACAAAACAATTTATATGACCCAACCTGAGGGCTTTGTGGATCCCAAGAGAAGTGAGCATGTCTGTTTGCTTAGGAAGGCATTGTATGGCCTGAAGCAATCCCCTAGGCAGTGGAACATCAAATTTGATAAATGCATGATATCTTTGAAGTTCCAAAAATCTGTTTGTGATCATTGTCTGTATTTCAAAAATACTTCTTCTGTGCCTGTATTTTTGTTACTCTATGTGGATGACATGCTGATAATTAGTCCTTCTCTGAATGCTATTAAAGATGTGCAAAAATGCCTTTGTGCGAATTTTGCCATGAAAGACCTAGGTGATGCCAAGAGGATCCTAGGCATAAACATTGTTAGGGATAGGAGTAAGCGCACTCTTACTTTGAATCAGATTTCTTACATAGAAAAAGTTTTGAGTAAATTCAATATGTTATCTGCTTCTCCTGTTAATGTCCCCATGGCATCTCACTTTGTGTTAAGTAAGGACCAGTCTCCCAAGACTACTCCTGAAATTGAGAAAATGAAATCTGTGCCTTATTCCAGTGCAATAGGGTCGGTGATGTATCTCATGGTTAGCACTAGACCTGATATTGCTTATGCGGTCAGTTGCTTGAGTAGATATATGTCCAACCCTGGTTTGCCCCATTGGAATGCTCTTAAGTGGTTGCTTAGATATCTGATTTCTACTGTGAAGCATGGATTAATTTTCTCTAAATGTGCTAATGGTATTGAATTGATTGGTTATGTTGATTCTAACTATGCAAATGATAGAGATAACAGGAAGTCGACCACTTCTTATGTTTTTACTTTGTGTGGCTCTTGCACTAGTTGGAAGTCTCAACTACAGCCTATTGTGGCCCTTTCTACCACTGAGTCCGAGTATGTTGCGGCCACAGAAGCGTTTAAGGAAGTCATCTGGCTCAAACGCCTTGTCTCCGAAATTGGGTTTCTCAAAAAGTGGAGTCAAGCTGTGCAAGATCCCGTCAGAGTTTAACCCTGCGGATATGGGTACCAAGTGTCTTTCTGCTGAGAAGCACTTGTCCTGTAAACGCATGTTAAACTTTGATTGTGGATAACTGTGGGTTGCGTAATAAAGTGTTTGCCCGTTTTATCTGTTGATATTCCGGGTGACCCGGCGATGATGAGTCTTGTCACAACCTTATATTGTTTCTCTACACCACCTAGGACCAATAAGGTGGAGAATGTTGGAGGTATTGGTCCTACCAAGGCCTCCCTTCCACTTTATTTGCTGAGGCTTGCACCCTATTGTTTTACTCCCACTTTGGTACCTTTTCTTTGGTATATATCCTGATCAAATATATACCTATTTTGAGTGGTTGACTTAATCTCTTGGCTGGCCCCTTCTCTGCCTCCTGTCCGCTGCACTCATTGCCTGGCAGCCTGTGAGCCTTTTTTTGTCTTGGCTCTCACCCATGACTTCCTTCTGGCCGTTGCTATTATTTAGAGGCCTTGGCCTCTTCCTGTGGAAGTAGCCTGCGTAGAAAAATTCCTGAGAGCAGAGCTCCCTTCTTCTTCCTTTGTGTGAGAGTAGAAAGGTCTTAGTGGAGAGTTGAGAGTGGATGCTATAGCCTCCTCCTAGTGTGGTGTATGTGATTATAGTGAAATAGACCTGAGCCGGAGACGGATAAGATCCTAACAGCAAATAAAAGCTACTACACTCCATACTTATCAATACAGAAAACAGAAAAGATCATGGCTAATCAAGTTAAACCTACTACACCGATGCTTAATTGAATATGAAAGTTTCAATGAAAAGATAACCATGATCAATATATAAATTGAATTCTTCTCATTTTTTGAACACTTCAAATTGTGCACCGCACATTTGGCAAACTTCCTTTTTTGCACGCATTTAGAAAACATCCTTTTTGAGCTGCTCTGTTTCCTTTTTCAATTTTTCATTATGTGCTTGCATCTCTTTACAGTTTTCTTTTAACCACTTTTGTTGAAATTGCAACGCAATTATGAGTGACTGCTTCTCTAATGCATCAAGCTCTTTAGTTTCTGTAAATGAATTCTCCTCGATATCATCTTCCCACTTGAAAAACCCACAGTTTTCAAACTGATACACAACAAAAAGTTAAAACTCAACACATCCCTATATTTTATAAATACACTCACAAACATTTACTAATAACATTGGGAGAATATCAATTATAAGTCAATATGATTTGAACCCTAGATTTAGTATATTTCACACTAAATTAAGTATCATTCATAATTAACATACTCACAAGCCATACACGACAAACATGATACTTCTTTCCAAAATTCAGCCCATTTTTTTACAATCCGCACAGTCGAATTCATGTTGTGATAACAATACATTTTTGGATTTGCCTCTGTGCTTGATTTCATTGAAGAAGAACCAGAACCATCTGAACATTTTTTTGTTATAGACATCAATGAAATTAAGGGAATGATGGAGATACAGAAGAATTCAGAAATGAGGAAGGAGTCAGATTGAGTGAGTATTATAAGCGTTTAGGAAGTCGAAAAGGAAAAAGGTATAAGGAAAATAAGGTGATTATCACGTTATTTTCACTGCTCAACTGGTTATTATCATGTGAATAACCTTTAATAACGAGTGTATATCGTGTTTGCGACAGCAGAAAGAAGATTGTTTTTTGGAGTATTAACAAGGGAGCGTTTCAAAATACGGAGTATTAGAAAATGTATGATTTATAGTTTCAACATTTCCTATATACTTATATATACATATATATACAAAATTTAATTCAAATAAAAATATATTTCTTAGGTGAATAATAGGAAATAGTTAGGGACATTGATGTGAAAGATGGGTTAAAGAGATCGATATTTAAGTAAGAAACGTTATGACATTATTTTAATTAGTTATAAAGAACTCTAAATGAAAATAATATAGTAAATGTGTACAAGAATATACAAAAATGGACAAATGTTCAGGTCCGGAATTCCGGACCAGAACCGCCGTCCAGCCGACGGCTTTTGGGGCCCTTCCTGGTGGCTTTTTTGATGAAATTTTTATGGCATGTTATTCATCAAGTCTAGTTTATCCACAAAAAATCATCTAAAAAATCAATCCGGAAGGTCATCAAATGAATTTCGGAAGTTAACTGCGTTTTATATGTATTTATTTGCGCAGTTAACTTCAAAAATTCATTTGACAACCTTCCGTATTGATTTTTTAGCTGAATGTTTTTAGGATAAACTAGACTTGATGAAGAACATGCCATAAAAAATTCATCAAAAAAAGCCACCGGGAAGGGCCCCAAAAGCCGTCGGCCGGACGACGGTTCCGGTCAGGAAAGCCTGACTGGAACACTACTCTACAAAAATGTATATGTACAACACTAAAGTGTATAGAATTCAAAATACAATGTGCATAACTTTAAAAAATAAGGTAATCTTTTTCACACTCACGAGTTCACTTTTATCTATAAATGATAGAGTTTGTATTATAAAAAATGTCGCATTAGTCTGAACCATGTCTTTTGATTATAAACTCATATAATATCAACTCACAATTGATTAAAGGTCAAGATTTCTTATCATTTTTCATAAGAAGATCAGACATATTTTCACTTAAAGTTTTCTCCACATATTCTATTAGAAGTAATGTATGTAATTGGTGCGTAAAATACATTATTATGGTGACCCGTTTTTCATTAACTTATGTTTAGAATTATTGCATTACTCGTTAAAATAGATTCTAGTTTCTAGTAATGTTTAAACATATTCTATTAACTTATGTTTAAACATTATTGCATTACTCGTGAAAATAGTTTCTAGTTGAGTACTCTAATGATGAATTCGATCTTATTTTTATGGTGACCCGTTTTTCATTTCTCGATGAATATGCAAAGTGATTCTGAGTTGCGACATGTGTACAGACTGCAAAGGGTGAAGATGGTGCAGCCGTGGTCCAATGGTTGTGTGGCGACGACACGGCGTTGAGGCGGTCAGGTGGTTCGGGACTTGGATGTCGTGGTCTCGTGTAGGGCAGAGGACGTCGTGCGTCGATGCGTCGTGCGTATTTTTGTACGGAGTATATTCTTTAACACATTTAGTACATTATTTTCATTTAGAGTTTGTTATAACCCATTAAAATAATGTCATTCTTTACTTAAAACTCGATCTCTTTAACCCATCTTTCACATCGATGTCTCCTACTAATTCCTATTATTCACCTAAGAAATATATTTTTTATTTGAATTAAATTTTGTATATGTATATATAAGTATATAAGAAAATTAAAGTTAAAACTATAAATCATACCTTTTTTAATATTTCGAAACGTACGGTCCCTTGTTAATACTCCAAAAAAACCATCTTCTTTCGGTTGTCGGAAACACGATATATACTCGTTATTAAGATTATTCACATGTTAATAACCAGTTGAGCACTGAAAATAACGTGATAATCACCTTATTTTCCTTATACCTTTTTCCTTTTCGACTTCCTAAAGGCTTATAATACTCACTCAATCTGATTCCTTTCTCATTTCTGAATTCTTCTGTATCTTCATCATTCCCTTAATTTCATTGATGTCTATATCAAAAAAATGTTCAGATGGTTCCGGTTCTTCTTCAATGAAATCAAGCACAGAGGCAAATCCAAAAATGTATTGTTATCACAACATGAATTCGACTGTGCGGATTGTAAAAAACGGTCTAAATTTTGGAAAGAAGTATCATGTTTGTTGTTTATGGCCTGTAAGTATGTTAATTATGAATGATACTTAATATAGTTACAAATAAACTAAATCTAGGGTTCAAATCATATTGAGTTAGATTTGATATTCCCAATGCTATTAAATGTTTGCGAGCGTGTGTTTATAAAATATAGGGATGAGTTGAATTTTAACTTTTTGTTGTGTATCAGGTTGAAAATTGTGGGTTTTTCAAATGGGAAGATGATATCAAGGTGAATTCATTTCCAGCAACTAAAGAGCTTGATGCATTAGAGAAGCAAGCACTCATAATTGCGCTGCAATTTCGTATAAGGTGGTTCAAAGAAAACTGTAAAGAGATGCAAGCTCATAATGAAAAATTGAAAAAGGAAAAGGAGCATCTCAAAAAGGAAGTTTGCCAAATGTGCACCAAAACGGAAGTTTGCCAAATGTGCGGTGCACATTTTGAAGTGTTTAAGAAATGAGAAGAATTCAAATTATCTATTGGTCATGGTTATATTTTCTGTTGTGTTTTCTGTATTGATAATTATTGAGTGTAGTAGGTTTTATTTGCCGTGATATAAGAAATAAATTGTAATTGGAACAATTGTTTTCAATTTATAATGAACTTCTATTGCTTTGTTTTAGAAAAATGTACCCCTTAGTTTCTTAACTATACAAGGAGTTTGGAGTTGTCATTCTTAACTACTATTGCCACAATTGTACTATTGATTGATTATGTTGGGAGTTAAGTTTTTAACCATTGTTTTCCTAAATACACTATTTCCATTTTTTTTGGAAAGCACAAAAGCAATTTTGTGCTGATCGCATTCATATTTTTATAATTTATATCTTTCTTTCCTACTAATATGAGAATTTAAAAAACACAATAGTTTATTATATTAGGAACTTAACACTATAATGCACTTTGGTTGGTATATTAGGTATTCAATCAACTGCTGCCATTATATTCTTGATGGATTAGGTGCTCAACCTGTATTAATGTGATGATATTAGGTATATTATGACACAAGAATACTAGCTTTATGGCATGCATGTGTGAGATAACATTAATTACAAAAAACAGTCTGATATTACCCTGTGATCAAACACTTAAAGATTAGATATTTCGTACAATGACTTTACTTTGTGTTTTGATTCCAAAAAAAAAGGGGAGAACTATCAAATAAACCCTCGAACTTTCATAAAAATTGCAAATAAGCTCTTATACAGGAGGCTTTGTCCGCCTGTCGCCATTTTGGGCAGTTTCCGGTGGAATTTTTTGATGAAATTTTTTGAGCATTTTCTTCATTAAGTCTAGTTTACTCATACCAAATTTAACCTAAAAATGCAATCGAGAAGACAGTCAAATGATTTTCTGAAATATATTGTGTTGTCTAACTGCGTAGTTATCTTCAGAAATTCATTTGAATTTCTTCCCGATCGAATTTTTATCTGAAATTTGGTATGAATAAACTAGACTTAATGAAGAAGATACTCAAAAAGTTTCATCAAAAAATTCCACCGGAAACCGCCCCAAATGGTGACGGCCGGGCAGAACCTTCTATAAAAGGGCTTATTTGCATTTTTATGAAAGTTCGAGAGCTTATTTGATAGTTCTTCTAAGAAAAAGTGAATTCCCAAACACAAGTACATTTGAATACGAATCATCAAGCAAAATACTGTGACAAAATAACTAAATTCTGTCTATACTCTATAGCAGGGGTGGAGCCAGACTTCACTCTAAGGGAGGGTGGGATTTAGTACAAGTATTTAGAGTAAAAGAAAATTTGCAATTTTGGTCCAATAAATTTACTTTGTGCTCGTTTTTAGTCTTGATACTTCAATTGCTCGTAAATTTGATTATGTAATTAAAATTTTTTTGCAACTTAAGTACTTTTCCAAAGGAAACTACACTTTCCTATCAATTATTGAACGCAAAATATGCCGTCAATGTCGATTTTTTTGCCAGAAAGTGTACTTTCTGGTGCAAAAATCCTTAAAACTTCAAAGACCTACTCCGTAATTCATATTAGTTAGAGAACCTAACCAGCATGCGGGTAGAGTTACACTACTAATAATGAGAACACTCAAAAATTACAAAGATTAAAATTACAAGACTCTCAAATATGAAATTTAAAATATAAAACTCAAAATATAAACTTTAAAATAAAAAGAATTATGGCAGTTTGGCTTGGTACTAAATTGCCTTCATAAATTTTAGGGAGGGGCCAAAACAATATTTATGAGTAGTATTTAAAAAAAATTAAAAAAGTGGGAGGGGTCATGGCCCCCTTAAGCACATAGGTACGTCCGCCCATGGTCTATAGATTACAAAATGGGATCACTAAATGATAACCATAAAGATAGGTAAATGACCATATTATAGAGATCTAAAAATGATCGTATTTTTTCAAACAGTTCTCTATTAAGATATATTTAAATGGCAAAAAATGTCATATTACACTAAGAACTTTCCTGAAATACATGGGAATAAAACTAGAGAAAGATTGAAGCTAGAAGAATACTATATTCTATATATTCTCCTTGATAGCTATTACAAGCAGCTGCCTTAGTTATATACATACAGTTAACTAAGAATAATAGGAAAGAATGTCTATACAAGGAAGCAAATAAATCAATACATAAAGAATAGGAATAATGGTAAGTTATAATAAGTGCAGGAGACCAGTCTTCCTTGTATAGAATCTCCATCACGCCCACATCAAGTTGGCACGCTAAAATTGTGAACGCCTAACTTGACTAGTAATCAGTTGAAGCAGCCCTTGTTTAAGGTTTTAAAAAAGATGTCAAGAACCTGAAATTTTGTATGGATCTTCGTTCGAGCAATTTCAGCTCCAGTCGAGGAACAAGAGAGAATGGATTTTTTCTTACTTTGCCATGATATAAGCACCCCAATCTCCATCACAATAAGCGATGAAGCTTAGGTTCCCAACATTTAGAAGAAAAATACCATGCCATGGTGTCTTCTTCAAATACTGAATCACTTTATATGCTGCATCCAGATGCTCCTGATATGGCATATACTAATGAATTGACATAAAGCATTCACTGAATATGTGATGTCGGGTCTAGTGACTGTGAGATATAAGAGGTGTCTGAAAGGTCTGCGGTATCAAGAGGCATCTACTAGTGCATTAGTGCAGTCAACTCACAACCTATAATTTTGTTCTAGCATAGAATCACTCGTGCGACATCCCTGCATGCCGTTCTCATAAAGAACATCTCGTGCATACTTCCATTCATTGAGTGCTATTTCATGTCATGTTCAGGTCATCTCTATCTGAAGAAAGTACTTGAGTGATCCTAGATCTTTAATATTCCGAAGTTTGATGTCTAAATACTTCTTTAGTAGCTCAATCATTTCTTTATCAGTGCCAACAAGAATAACATCAACAATATACATTAGTGCCACTAGGTTACAATTCTTACTTGTATATATGAAAAGAGAATGATTGACTTTGGACTTTCAGAAACCAATAGCGAGAAGAGAACTTGTGTACTTATGATACCAAATACGAGATATTTGTCTTGATCCATAGAGGGATTTTTTAAGACGCCAAAATCTCATATCTTCGGATTTAACAAAACCATGGGTAACCTTCATATATATAAGTTGTTTCGGACGAATCTCCATGCAAAAATGCATTATTCACATCCAATTTCTTGACCTCCCAACCACGTTTAACACGACGGTATTCAGGCATCGAACAATAACGAGCTTTGACACAAGTGCAAATCTCTGATGAAAGTCCACGCCTTTAATTTGGGTAAACCCCTTTGCCACTAGTCGTGTCTATATTATAGCGCTCCACTTTGTCATCAATTGAAATTTAACATCATATACCCATTTGGAGTCAATGGCCCTTTCGTTAGGAGGTAGATTAACCAAGTCCCAAATATTATTTGCTTCTAGATCGTGAATCTCTGGTTGCAAACTGGCTAGCATCTCTTCATGAAAAGCCATCATTGATTGCATATGGTATGACCACGGGAATCTTCTCACACTATCAATCGACATTGCTTAGTAGTTCAATATTATCAGTGATGTGGTCCGTGGCCCCCAAATCTATTACCCAAGTCCCTTTTCCTCCAGTCTTACCTGCCATGTTGGCAGTAAGATTGGATTTTATTCTCTCTGTGTCTATATTTGCTATTATTCAAGAGTCGAATGAGTCGTGTCATCTGATCTTGCACTACTACATTTTAACGTCTTTTGTAATGCCCAAATTTGTTACAATTAGTCAAAAAGTCTGTTACATTATACTAATTGTAACAATTTTGTGGTGTTATATCTACTCGCATTACAATAGCTCTAATGTAACATTATGTAACGAGTATAAAAATCAACTATAACGCTTTTCTCTACTTTTCGTAGGTGTTAGAATATCAATTTTACCATTACAATAAAGTACAAAGGTAATAGTTTTTGAAAACAAATGTATCACATATGATGGAAAATGTAACACTTTTTTGAATCTTTTTTATCAAACGTATCATGTTTGCTAGAAAATGTAACACTTTTTTTGAATGTTTTTTTATAAAATGCAACAAATTTTATATATAGATCTATCATATAATGGAACATATAAAGACATCACACAAAATAAGTAGATCTCTCTCCAACCTTGTATTTCAGGAATCCAAAAAACAAATACACAATTCCATAATTCAAAACACATTGTACAACCAAACAGAACTGCAATTCTAAGGATAACAAACCACAAAAAATATCTACTAATTTGTCAATTGCAATCAAATTGTCCACCATACTGTCAATTTCAACTAAACTATCGAGTGTTTCATAATTCTTGGCTTGAGAAGCATTTCAACAAGACACATGTGCGCATCATTCATTGGAATGTTCCATTCCATCCTCATTAGTATGTCTATCACTAGCCTGCAAAATAAGGAGTTCAAATAGTTAACACAACTGTTTCACACTAGTGTTTTATTAGCTTAAAAATTCCTTATCACTTTCAAGTATTTATTCAAACAAGACACAACAATCTCTTCGCCAACAAATAGTAATTCCACACTTCATAGAGATAGCACAAATAATTATTATATACTTCATTGAAGTTCATAGTAATATCAAAAACTTGCATTGAAGCAGAACAATGTTAAACTAAATAATTATTAACACAAAAGATCCATCATCCTTTAAACCGCACGTTGGTCTTATGGGGGATTAGCACCACCGTACCCTTTGATTCAGGGCTTAACTGCCCAACCTGTTGGCACCACGATGTTTGTCGAATCCGAAAAGGGGTGAATCGATCCAACACCGCATGAAACACTGAAACTAACAGTACATGGTACAAAATGAAAAGTGATGATAAAATTACAATTAATTGACTAAATCACAGCAACATTATTGCAAGAAATTATTAGATTAAACATGGATATACATCAAGACGCGTGAATAAGATAAAGACAATAAAACAAGATTTGTGAATGTAATCAACAATGCATATCATCACTTTTCAAACCTGATTGAAAACATGCAAAATCCAACGGGATACCATAACAAACATACTGGGAAAACTTCACATCAGGTTAATTTTTTTACTTGAACAATTCTTATAAGGTACGTAGAATATAATACCTTATGTTGCATTCTAGTAGAACAGTTCATGTTTGACCCATCCACTTCACTTGTTGATTTGTCCTTTGAGGGTATACAAAACTCTGGAATGGTAAGAGTAAT